TGCCTAGTCTTCCTTCTGCAGAGTGGCTGGTAGGTTTGAACCACCAACCTTCTGGTTAGCAGTGAAATGCTTTAAGCACTATGTCACCATAGCTCCTTAGCCAAACAACAGGCAGACATATATGGTGAACATTCACACCAGGTAAGTACCTTAAAACAATCAACCATGGGAAGAATTTGCACAGGGAGATACCTCAGAGGGCAGGGATGCATAGGAAAGAAGGACACAGGGAAAGGGTAACCAGAGGGAGGGTATAGGAAAAAAGCTGTTACATGATGGGTATTGCAGTCAATGTCATGAAGCAAAATGTGTATGAACTATTGTATAGAAAATGAATTTGCTCTGTAAACTTTCACCCAAATCACAATTAAAAAAAACAAAAGTCAAGGAAAGGTTTACATATGAAGGAAACTTTTTTTTGTTGGTTACCAGGGATGGAAGGGCAAAGAAGGGAAAAGTGATAACTAGGTGAGACACTCACCAGCTGCTCCACGTAAGAAAGATGGGGCAGTCTGCTTTCTTAAGGATTTATAGCCTTAGAAACCCAGTGAGGGTTGCTATGAGTCAGAATCTACTTGATGCCAGTGAGTTTGGTTGAGAGTTTAGGTAAGAGACATTTATTAATTTGGGTGAAGGGAAAGGCAATATACAAAACATGGGTGACTAGCACATTATCACTAAGGAAAAAAAAAAGAGACAGAAAGGTGTGCAAAAGTTACACACAACAAAGGCAAACACAGTTACATACACAATACTGCATTATCATTAATAACAAACATTAATCTGTAAGTGGATACATAGGTAGACAAGCAAGATGATCAGGTTCGGGTAGGTCAACAGGACTATATCCATGGTCAAATATATACATTTGGCTGATGATATTTCTACTTACATATTTGTGTGTGATGTAAAAATATCCATATACATAGTAGGGCTAACAGGGGGCAAAGTTCTGAAAACTTCTTAGCCATAAGCAAACACCTTGAAGGAGTGAGTCCCTGGGCCTGAGAACTCAAGATCATAGTCCCAGGGGTATCAAGTTCAATTGGCATTAAAAAAATTTTTCAAAGAAAATATTGGCTAATATAATCCAAAAGTGTATATTAAAAGTAATAATACATCATGTTTAATAGAGTTTATTTCTGAAATGAAAGGTTAGTTCATTATCAGAAAAAAATCAATGTAATCTACTACTTTACCAAAAACAACCAAACCCACTGCTGTAGAGTCAATTCCAACTTACAGCGCTCCCATTGGGTTTCCAAGGCTGTCAGTCTTTGTGGAAGTAGATTGCCTCATCTTCCTCCTGAGGGGTAGCTGGTGCATTTAAACTGCCAACCTTTAGGTTAGCAACCAAATGCCTTACCCACTATGCCACCAGAGCTCCATCTACTACTCTGTTGTTGTTGTTGTGTGCCATCAAGTCAGACCTGACTCATAATGACCCCTCCTTGGGTTTCTGAGGCAGTATCACTACGGAAGTAGATTGCCCAACCTTCCTTCCCATGTGTGGCTGGTAGGTTTGAACCGCCAGCCTTCTGGTTAGCAGTCAAGTGCCTTAGGCACTATGTTACCAGAGTTCCTTGCCTTGGGTTAGGCATACCTTAATCTTCAAAGGGGCGTCTTTGCTTCTTAACAATATAAAGAGATCTTTTGTAGCATATTTACCCAGTACAATGTGACATCTGATTTCTTACCTGCTGCTTCCATGGGTGTTGACTGTGGATCGAAGTAAAATGAAATCCCTGACAACGTCAATCTTTTTTCCATTTATCATAATGTTGCTTATTGGTCCAGTTATGAGGATTTTTCTTTTCTTTATGTTGATTTGTAATCCATATTGAAGACTTTGATTTTCATCAGTAAGTGCTTCAAGTCATCTTCACTTTCAGCAAGCAAAGTTGTGTCATCTGGTTGTTAATGAGTTTTCCTCCAATCCTGACGTCGCGTTCTTCTTCATACAGTCCGCCTTCTCAGATTATTTGCTCATCATACAGATTGAATAAATATGGTGAAAGGATACAACCCTTCCTGATTTTAAAGCATGTGGTATCCCCTTGTTCTGTTCCAACAACTGCCTCTTGGTCTATGTACAGGTTCCTCATGAGCATAATTAAGTGTTCTGGAATTCTCATTCTTCACAATACTATACATAATTTGTTATGATCCACACAGTTGAATGCCTTTACATAGTCAATAAAACACAAGTAAACATCTTTCTGTTATTCTTTGCTTTCAGCCAAGATCCATCTGACACCAGCAATGACATCCCTTGTTCCATGTTCTCTTCTGAATCCAGCTTGAATTCTAGAAGTTTCCTGTCCTGCTGCAACTGTTTTTGAATTATCTTCAGCAAAATTTTACTTGCGTTTGATATTAATGATATGATACAATAATTTACACATTAGTGTAGGTAGTAATAAGCAAAAGGGAATCCTGTTATGGAACAGTAAAAATGAAATGGTATCTTATGTGGAAATAATTATATAATGCTAGCTGTGCACAAATGCTGGAGACATGATATCTCACGATAGCATCGTTCAATTTTTAAAGGCTGTATTTCCATCGTGCTCACTTCCTTTACTTCCACAAACTATGAACTCGTTTGTCAGCCGCCTTCTTCCCGTGAGCCAGAGGGTGGCGCCCGGCCTCCACCAGCCGCGCCACCCAACTAAACCTTTTGAAGAGCCCGGCTGTGCTTTTAAGAAGTCCAGCTCCAAAAGGTGCTGCGTTAATTCTGATGCTTTTATTTTGGTTCGTTGTCAAAATATTATAAACAGTTCCTCGCTTCTAGTGACCATGCAGGAGTTTGAAAGAGTCCTGCCCCCGCCATGTTGTCTCACAGTTTTCCCCGGAAAAATCAACAAACCGAACTAGGCTCTGGCCTAGCAAAAGACCGTCCAACAGATAAACCCACTCATGCTCATCCGAGCAAACCCCGACTTGCTTCCCTTTCATCAAACAGCCCGTAGTTGTCACAGAGATTGAGAGAGACAAGCCGAGAGGATGGTTTCTGCTACTTTGTTCCCTGCTCCCTCACCTGCACTGTCCCCTAGAGTAAAGGATAGGGAAGCTATTCCTTGTGTTTCCCGCCCTTGCCTTGTCTTCCGTGGAGGGTAGCGGTTCATTGACTAATGACTCGTGAGTGCACGCTCTGACCAGAGATGTGAACAGGTGCCTGGGACATCAGCTAAGAATTCTGAAAAGAGATCTACATAGAGATGAACTCAGTACTCTGGCTTGGCCCTGGTCTGGTTTCCCGCCCCAGGGTTGCAGCCAGAGGCCACGCGCTTCCCCCTGAGGTTATGATTAACAACAATGACTACTTTCCACATCAGTCTGTGTTCACCTACGGGTCCAATCTAACCTTCACACCTGCTAGTACGGAGGAGGGTGGTGTGCACCTCTAGCAGCCCTCTCGGCAAAACCAAAACCAAACTCACTGCCATCGAGTCGGATCTGACTCATAGCTACCCGACCCCTCCTTGGGTTTCCAAAGCAGTATCTTTACGGAAGTAGATTGCCCAATCTTCCTTCTGAGCAGTGGCTGGTGGGTTTGAACTGCCAGCCTTCTGGTTAGCAGTCAAATGCCTTAGGCACTACGCCACCAGTTCAAAGCCCTTGGGTGAGCTGCCCGAGCAGCCCAGGTGTCAGGCCTCCACGTCTCCCGACCTGCTGCACTTCTCCAGGAGGAATTCAAGGAAGAAGGGCCCGGGTGCAGCGGTCGCAGCGGAGGCTAGAGGAACCACGGGCGAACCTGGCTCAGCAGAAGCCGCTTCTCCTGCTCCGGGCATGGCCGGTAGAGGGAGCCGGGCGTCCGGGAATGGCCAGCGGCTCCTGCTGTCCCGGCGCGGCGAGCCGTTCGCACGGGGCGGCCCTCCCCACACGGCCTCCCGGCCGCGCTCCTGAGCTTGGGAGCTCCAGGAGGTTTGAGTTGAGAGCTTCAGGCCGACCTTCCCCCAATTCCCCGCTTACTGCAGTTAGCGCTTGGCAGGTGATGGATTTGGTGTCAGGGGCTGGGAAATGCTGCCGCCGGTGCAGACAGGGTGGCGCCACCCAAACACCTGCTGGTCCAGGAGAAGTACCCCAAGGTGAGATAGCCCCAGCCTCCCTCCCTGCCCGGGTCCAATTCCCTTCCTTTTCTAGTTCCCATCCACTTGAGATCAGCCTTCCAGAACCTCTCCTACGGAGAATTTTTATAAACACATCTATGTTAAAAACATTTTAAAGCAGCGTCCAAATTTTGCCACAGGAGGATACCAATGTAAATAGTACGTTTCCTATGATTTGAAAGGGCTTTCTCCCCTACACACACACACTTCTTTCCCAAAGCAGTCCAGGGACAGCAGTCAAGGGTGAAGGGCCGATTAATAGTCACCTATTTTGGAAAGCCAGCCCAGCCTGGTCGTTGTCTCCTCGGGGCCTGGTTAGTTATAGGGTGAAGGAAGTATGTGAAGAGGGTGAAGGAAGTAAGATTAAGGAGGCCTTTAAAGTCTTATAAGTTTAGGGCTATATTACTGCTTAATTCCAATGGACAAACAGAACAGCTAAAAATGTTATCACTAACAGGGTGTTTTGCCCTTCTATAAATCTTATGTTCTGAGTTCTGTAGTCTTTCTTCCTCAGGATTTTCAAGCAGTTTCATTTATTCCAGGAAAGTGTTTTTACCTACTAAAATAGGTAGACCTTCCCTTAGTCTGTTACCTAGGCTTTTAAGGAACCATAATCCACAGCCCTGTATTTAAACTCGGACTCAAGGCACAGAACTAATAATTGGTCTCTTAAAGACTCAGAGAAACTTTTGTTCATCGCCTTCCAAGTTCTGGTCAATGCTCCTAAAAAGCAGCATTAGTCCTTTGGCCCAAAGGAACTCTTTTTTTCTACACAGTAGGCTCAAGGCTTAGGGGGTAGAGGTGGGGAATAGATGAGGGAGAAGGAGTTGAATAAAAGACAAGATACAGGAAAGATAGAGACTTAAAAATCATTCAGAATGCAGGTACTGACTTCAGACATGTTTTATTATAATCTTACACAGTCTACATAAATTTGAACTTGTATTTATTTGGGTTCAGTTATAACATAGCATAATAAAAATCAAAGCACTGGTCCTCTGAAATAAAGCAGGCAATCACCATTCAATAAACACACTTGATTTATTTTGTATAAAACGGTTAAGTTTACAACTAAACTTTTATAAAAAGTTTAGCATGAATAAGTACATCATTACACTTTTTTTTGCAGAAATATACATCTCTGCCACTATACAAGAAAACTCTAATTAAAGAGTTCACAAGGTTTCACTCAATATATATATATATATATATATTTATATATAAATATATACACAGCATTCAGTAGGCTTGCGTCAAAAAGGTAATTTTCTGACCAAAAGACTTCATGTAAGTAACTGAATACTGAATCCTTCTGGTATTCACGCTCCACCTTTGAAAAAAGGCAAAGTCTGCTTAAATTGGGCAATTCCTTGTGATTTTAACGTTTTCGCTCCCCATGGTGGGAATAGTATATAAAGAAATCCTTCCAACTGCAGAAAGGGCATTTAAGTCTTTTTCATAAATAACTACTATCAGTCCAGGTCAGAGAACACTCTGGGGAAGAGGATCATTTAAGTTTTCCTTCCATTTTTTTTTTCTTAAAGGTCCATTCAATTTGTTGTTGTCCTCCCCTGTGAAATGGTTGAAAAATTAAGTTCAGCGCCTTAAAAGATCCTGTGGATTTGTTGTTGTGCAAAGGAAAAAAAGTCATGAACACCTGCAAAAAGATTGGGAGAGAAAGGCATGTTCAGGAGAATGTAACCTAAGGGCACAGAGGCAGGCAGACTGGCGAGGAGAGGAAACCACAGTTTGAGCATTTAACCAAACACTCAAAGATTGGGCAAACCCTGGCCTCCAGATGCAACACACATACACGGCCTGGACATCGCAAATTAAACATTAAAATAACAGACTCAAGGGAAAAAACTTCTCAACGCAATCTCTTATTTGGATCTCCAAATGCAGTACTCAGAGGCGCCAGTCTGCTGCTTGTTAACAATTATTTGATTGAAAACAGCCCTTTAGTTAACATAACAGATAGGGAAGACGCGATTCCACATCAGAGGGCTTAAGGGACAGGGTAACAATCATCAGCTAGCTGAAATCCCAGAGGTCTATAGTTTTAGGAAAGGAGGATGGCTGTGGAATTTGTGATAAGATTAATTACTGTGGAGGTTAGTACCTCATAGTACCAGAGTAATAGTAGCCAAGACATTAAATGTGTACTACAGAAGCCAATACACATTTCCTCAGCCACCTTCATAGTAAGTTATTGGCATTTTTTTTTTAAAGGAAAATGTTTTGTGATGTTAGTAGCCAGAACCAGAAGCCCCTTCATATATAGTAAGACAATGTAGTATGTGTAATACAAGGAACTAAGCATTCATTTACTAAACTAATGTTACCAATACAACCACTCTCACACAAGCAAATGAGAAACACACATGCACAGAGACACTTAAGAGGTAGTTTGATCAACAGAAGGCACAAGCAAACACTCACCATTTATTTAGCCACAAAGTGCTTTGCTGTCATTTGACATTAACTCAGAAGGGAACTCAGAAGCCTGCGAAATAAAGAGGATAAAATGTTAGGTATCTTAGGAAGACTTTTTTTTTTTTTTAAGTGGTCCATAAAGCACCAAGTTCCTTTACACATGTTTATTCTACATTTCAGACTCAAAAGATATAGCATTAAGATGTCAGAACTTAGCAATTACATGCACAACTCAACCTACAGAGTTTTTAAGAAAATAAAGTTAATTAGCTAATCTTCAAATTACCGTCTACAGCGGTCTCAACAACGGACCGATCAGTGACAGCTCAGATCATCGCTGGGAGCGCGCGGCAGCGGAGCTGAGAGAACAGAGGACAGAGCTTACCTGTAAGGACAGGATACTGATGTCTGTGTTTAAAGTGGTCAGCGGCGTCCTCGAAGACTGGTTTTGTCCCGGTCTCTGGTGGTGGAGGCTTACAATAGTGGGGTGCGAATCCAGGGCGATCTGCAGGTCCAAGATGTAGTCGATGACGTGCTGCAGGATTTCCATCTTGCTCACCTTCTTGTTCTGGGGGATGCTAGGCACCAGCTCCTTTAGCTTGGAGTAACAGTCGTTCATATTGTACAGCAGGCTCATCGGGTCATCCACCGGGGTTTTACTCCGGGAAATGCCCAGGTTGTGGTCTGAAAGGCTGTTTTTCCTAACAGACCTCACTGGACTAAACGCTTTCATGTTGAATGCGGGTGGGCAGACAGACCGAAAATGAAAACAGACGGAGTTAACCTGGAGCTCAGGCCGCCTCCGCCGCCTGCTCAGCTACCTTTACTCTGCAAAGAGCTCAGCTCAGGATGGAGCCGCGACTCTGGCGGGGCGGCTTTTATCACCACTCACCCGTGCGACACAATCGGACTTCCCTTTGTTCCCATTGGTAAAAGGTGGTATGTCCATCAGATCTATCGTGCGCCCCCATTGGCAAGCGTAGGAGCAGGGCGAGCGCTCGCTCCTTCCGCGTTCGCAGCCAATCCCCGCGGGGTGGGCGGACCGGGAGCCAGCTGGGGCGGTAAATAGAGTACTGTACGCGCGGAGCTCAAGAGGCGCGGGGCCGCTCTGGGGAGAAGGGGGACAAGGAAAGCATGTGCATTTCTAATTCTCCAGTGGTGAGGTAGGCAGGAATTCCACAACTCCAGCAGTCCCATCACCGTAAGAGTGTGCCCCAACGGAGCCTTCCATGCCGTTGAGCTTTCATCAGTGACACGGGAAGTTCAACATAGCAGAGGGAAAGCCCCATTTTACTGCAACCCACGTAATATCATCAAGAAAGATAGAAAGCATTTCAGAAGAAAGTGAAAATGCAAATAAGGTTGCTACAGAAAAATGACGTCTGTAGAATAATGACGTGAATTCGGTCTTTTAAGAGAAGTAAAAACTTTTAAAAAATCCACACAAATTCAATGACAGGTTTAGTGTGGGATTTTGCAAACTGGAGCAAAGCGGGAGGAATTATTGTAAAACGCAGTAAAATGAGTATTTATTGCAAACTGTGCGCTAACAACGTTGATGCCTGAGGAGTTCCAGGAGGCGTCTTTATGTGCTCCTTTTCAAGAACAGGACAAGGCTATTTTAATGATCCTATTAATTGGAAATCATTACGAGAATATGCATATTGGAACTGCGTTTACATGCATTGCCCTTGAAAGGCTCCTAGTCTACGCCCTTCGGTGTAAGTGGCAAAATGTGACTAATTATGCACAAATAATTATTTCTGGTGTCACATTCTAGCACTGACAATATTTCTAAAACTTCACGGTATGTAGATAGCTCTACCTATTGATTGGCATCATCATACTATTTTTTATCAATTGTTATGTATGAGGTTCTCAATCTTCTCAGCACTACTGAAGTAGTAAGCGTCCGTTTTTGGTTTGTGTTTTTGCTGTAAATCCTAACTTAAGAATGCACTCTGACACACTCAGTCTAAATAAAAAGTTTGTAATTATTTATTACTTTTCAGTTACTTCACATGTAATTCTACCTTAAGACCATAGTAGATCAGTTGTGTTTTGAAAATCATTAGAATACAATAACTAGAAAATAGAACATTCATAAATCTGCATCTTGTTTAACTTGTCATAATCTTCATTTCCTTGCCATTTAAGAAAGGAGAAGGGGACAGAACTGGAGACCTAAGGCAAAGCTCAGAGAGAAAAGAGTAATTTGTCCTGCACTTAATGATTCATTCATTCCTCAGCTGGTAGGCATGGTGTTCTCTGGTGGCCCAAATACAGCCCCGGTGCCCCAAGGCTTGTCCTCAGGGTAGCAAAGTAGGTGATATTGAAGCTGATGCTCCTTTCACAGAATTCCCTCACTGCAGTCTGGTGGATGGACATGCATGGATTCCTCAAAACTAGAGTAAAATGCCCCAGTAATAGGCACTGCAGACTCATTAAGATACAAATGCCTCCTGCAATTCTGTCCCTGACGGTGTTCGATCAAGGAAGTCTCCTCTGATAGTAAGTCTGGAAATCATTTACTATCCGAGTCCCCTCACAGTTCGAGTCTTTTGATGTACTTTGTGTGCATGTGTTTCTGTCACACACGTGCCACAGTGGAACAGATTTTGTTTTGACACTATTTTGGTTCATGATGTTATACTTCGACTATTTTACAATAATAGCCAACGTAAACAAACATCTTTGGGATTCTCACATTATTACTTGTGATTCTTGGACACTGAGGCTGTGTGATATTGATGAATTCCTTGGCTTTTTCCAAGGACATCGTATGTGAACATCCCTGCCAGCCTCACTTATCCCAACACAGAGGGCCTGGACTGATTCGAATGATTATCGTGTGGTATTACTTTACACACTTGCAGAGCTGATTTAGGCAATGCCTTCTCCCAGGTTCATTTTTGTACCCTGATGTAGTAAAATTGCTAAATATGGTGAAAGTTTTTTGGTGTTTCTTTGTTTAGCTGCCATGTCGGAGCACAGTGTGCCTGACATTGCTGAATTAGTCTACTGGCATGCTACCCTTTTAAAGATCATTTTAAGGGTATTATGAAGCTGTATAAGTTAATGATTGGGGGGGGACCCCGAGTTCTAGCATATCTTGTCTCAGCAAGCTGAATACAAAATTATCTTTAAAATTATTTTTGTGGCGGGGATCCTATTAGACCATTTTCTGTTGGGTTAAAAGGCATTTAAAATTTGTTAATTTGTGTTATGTGTTTGTATTTGAGATCACTAAAGTTCAAATGGTCCCATCTGGAAAAAGCGTCCTGGATTTGCAAAATCTGTGTGTGGTGGGAAGGTGTGAAGGGTTTCCTGTGGGGGCTGGAAACATTGTCCCCCTGGCTTACCCACTAAGACGCCCCCATTAAAAAAAAAATGGTCTGGAAGTTACCTTCACATTTCAGAACTTACTTATTCAGTGTCTTTATTCCAGGCACTGCCGTGGCGGCTCACATCTGCGTCCAGGCCCCGTCGGCTGTAATCAGAAGCAGCTCTGAGCCGCGAGAGCCCGGGCGGGGGCCGGAGCCCGCTTTGCAATCCCTGTGTGATGCAATGGGGGGGCGGGGAGGAGTCTGCGGGGGGAGTGGAATTCTCAAGGTCCTTTCTGCACATCTGGCGCAATTGGGATTTCTCTCCTTTCTTCCCCCTGGTTTTGTTCTCACAGCTGTGTCCATTTCGCCTGTGACCCCCTGAGTGATCCCTGACAGGTGATGAATTGGCAGCAGCGGCAGCGGCGGCGGCGCGCGGGCCAGGCCTCGGCGGAGTCGGAGCCGCGAGCCCCGGAGCAGACTCTCTGGCGCCAGGCGCGTGACGCCGCCCATTCACCGCCGCCCTCCAGCCTTGTCCTCGCGGCGCCGCTCAGGCGGCTACCATGGCAACCACAGCTGTCAATCAGCGCGCGCTCCCAGCTGATCAATGCCTGCGGAGACCCAAGCAGTTTCGAGCCTCACCTCGGCCCTTGGCTGCTCCAGGGCCCACGAGCACCTGCAGCCAGTTGCGTGTCTTAAGTTTCCTGTTATTTGTGGGAAGGAAGGACAGAAAAGAAAAAGGGAAAAAAAAAAAAAAGCTGAGCGAGAGAAGAAAGAAATCTTCCTTTTGTTAAAGGAGGCAGTAATGTGGCTTAAGAGTTTGCAAAAGGTTTTGTTTTTGCAACCAAGGCATTTGTTGATGGGAATTCGGAGCAAGGGAAGGGTGGAGTGCAAAGAGGATCACTTTCTTAGCGGATAAATTAGCTTTATTCCTTTGAATTCTCGAGGTCCTTGCTTGGGATGACTTTAATCCTGAACTCTTCCCCCGCCCCCTTCCTGTTCGCAACCCCTAGAAGTTGAAAAAAAAAAAAAATATATATATATGTACACATATACACACACACAGACTTTTCCAGAGCAGTCCACCACACACACCCCAAGAGATGGGAGGATATCCAGCTCTCTGTCCAGTGGCTCCGGGTTTCCTAGACCCTGGGTCGTTTTCAGAGCCAAGAGCGGGAACCGTTGGTTTACTTCATTACCACTACAAAGTGGGTGTCCAGATTTAGTATCCTTTGTAGTATTGCATTTTCAACTGAGAAGATCAAGAGGCCAGAAACTTTCAAGTCAGCCCACAGACGCTAACTGCCTCCCCCGTCCTGGGTTTATCTTGAGGGAAAGTTCCATGTTAAGAACCAGATGCCAACATTCTCGGACAGTTTAGGGCATCCGGAACCCTCAATGGTGCTCATCTGCTGTTTAGAGTGTTAATAGGAATCATTTATCATCTTTCCTGGGCAGGAGGGAACAGAAATGGGGGGTGGGGGGCAACTGTTCCTGATTCTGTTATCTGGTTTAGCAGAGTTTGTTGTGGTTTTCGAGGAAACAGCATCTGGATTACATAAGGGTTCAAGTTTTTGCTTTACTTGTTTATTTAATACCTTGGCAAGAGGGAGCCCTTACTCTGAAATCAGATAACCGAATTTGGGTTTAAAACAGCTTTAGATGAGGGGCAAAGAGGGGAAGAGAGTGTGCAAACCCACAAAAAACAAGGGGATGTGTATTTTTCACCCTTTGGGTATGTTTTGAAGATCTTTCTAACCTTATACTTCTTGCACACAGCTAATACATTTAATTAACAAAGCACTTCTACTAAAATGGCTTTCTATTTATTATTCCCCGGTCCTTCCACGATCCCTTCTAGGATTCCAGCGAGGTCGTTTGCCCAAGATTTTTAAGAGTACCAGGTAAAACGCCGTGCTAAATCCAATTGCTTTCAACTCTCTGATCCTCTTTTAGGGAGATCGCTTTTCAACTCCGTTCAAAGAAAGCAGTCTGAGAAGTTTTGCGGAGAGATAGATTTAACTACCAGCACTGCAAATATTTAGTTACAAATGCTGTGAAGTGCACCGATTTGTGGCTGAGTTTTGCTTTCACAAAGGATTTTCCTGTTACTTTTGTTCCGGTCACCAAATTAAAAAGAAAATTAACTTGAGCGAGAGATAAGGTCTGGAAAACAATCCCGAGCTGCCAGCGACTTGGCGGGAGCGCGGTGGCTGGCGTCTCCAAGTCTGCGCCACCCGGGAGGCGCGCACGTCCGGCGGCGCAGCTGTGCCCGCCCCGTCCGGCTGCCACGGGAAGCCCCGGCCGGCCGCGCGCCCCCGGGGCCGCTGCTAGCTCCGAACTGCGCGGCTGCGGACTGCTAAGCACAGGCCGCCCACTGTTTGCCCAATAGCGTATGTGGGAATTCATTAGCAGCCCTCTCCAGCTAGCAACAAGGGCGGTTTTGTCCGGGATTAAACTACATCTTAATATTATAATGTGGCACAAAAAGCAGAACCCGAAGCTCGGGTTTTGGAGTCCGTAACAAGAAACACATTGTGTACTCCCTCCCCCCCTTATTGGCCGAAATCACGTTGCGCGCTGTCCGGGTTGGAGAAAG